CCTGAGCCTAACTAAAAAAAGTGCAAAAACAGTATTCTGTAGCTTGAGTATAAAAAAAAGGTCGACGCTTACTGAAACTGAAAGCTGGAAGATAATGTGAATTAAAACAGCCAACTAATTGAATGTTGTATACTGGTACGAGTGCAGTTTATAAAAAAAACACTACCAACAACGTTGGTAAATTAGCTACGGATTAGAAAAAGTTCCACGTTCGACGCTCTCGAGGATTCTTTCCTAATTAAATTACGAATACATTTTGTCACAGAGCTAAGAATAAATTTAATCTAATCAACAAATTTAGTTTCAATTACTAAAGAGTTGCAATAATAAAATTTACTTTGATGTGATAAAAAAAATGTGCGATTGAAAGTATAAATATGTATGATATAAATATATAAATGTAATTTAATAAAAAAACATATGAAAAAAAAAGTCATGCATATTCCAATGTGAATAGCAAAGCGAGGAATGTAACATTTTTAAATAAAACTGTGGAAACACCCCCGCAAGCTGGCATGCTTCCAGTATTGTTTATATTCGTTTAAATGCCTCGCATATATTGCTGATGTGAAGGCATAAAGTTTTTTGCAGCAAGTATGCGGTCATGCGCGGACATAAAATGCATGAAATCGCAATTAGAAAACATCGGAATGCTATTTTTTCGCGTTTAATATTACATTTAGAAGAACACACTCACACGCGTGCTTCTTGGCTAATGTTCCGCGTTTAATTGCGAATTCAATTAGAAAAAACGGCTTTTCAACGCAAACGTTCGAAAATTACGTATCATTATAACCGGAAATTAATTTCAGCTGTGCGCTTCAATTAAAATAATGAATTTTTATTTGCATAGTTGGTACAATTCGCGAGAATTGTCTCAGCGCGTCGCCGCTGCCATTGTCTGTAATTTAATGCATCAATTGTGCTCTCCCTTCGCTTGCTTATGCATGCACACCCTTAAAACAAAGTTAATCGCGTCTAAGCGCCGTAGCTGCAATAATCTCGTTGATGCGACGCTTATTGCGATAATTTCGCGCGCGATGCGGCAATAAATTCATCAAGTGCCTCCCCGCCTCGCATCTCTTTGACTCGTGTTCGCGCGCGCTTGCAGCTTTTTAAAACGGCGTTGCGCGTGAACTAACAAACGAACCGAAAGCGCAGCGAGGCCGAATTGCAGTTACGTTTCCGGCGCGAATGAATGAACAGCGTGCTTGCAATCTGAAAAAGACGCCCAAGTCTCAAAGAAAACGAAATGCAAGGCAAGGATGAATAAATTGAAATTTGAGGAGATAGAAAAAGGCGTTGCAAGTTTTACGCAATGCGCATTTCGCTTAATTAAGAAGCGTTTGCATTTACCATTCACGCAAATTTACGCAACGCAACGCAACGCGCTGGTAATTGAGTTAAATTTTAAGTGGCGAGGTTTTTTCTGCAAAGAAATCAAAATTAAGAAAATGCAGATTACGTTAATATTATTTTTGAATATATTTACATGCATTTAAATGGCTGTGAGTCACAGTTGCATAAATTTTCACTGCAGACAACTGAAGTTGCACCCTGCGTCCCTTTTGCTGTCGTCGGTGTCTTGTCGTCTTGTCGATGTCGACTTAATGTTGGGATTCGGCAGGATTTGCGTGATAAATTGATTTACAAATGACTCTCCAGCGTTCGCCCAGAGTTATGTGTGTAATTCCACAACGCCGGATTGAATGCGGTCGGGGCGCACAGCCATTGATGGAAGACTTTCGTGCGTCCCTTTCGCAGGCAGGAATATTAAGTGCATTAATCCGTAACGAATCGAATTTTGTTTTATATGACGGATGGAAGTCGGCAAGGAAAGGAAAGAGGGTTGTAGGTTTGTAGGGTGGCAAGAAAACATTTGTGGCGTTTCCAATGATGTCTGTGGTTGTTGGATGGATCGAAAAAGTTTCCTGTTCTACACGAGTTGACATCATGACACTCCAGCTAATAATATCATCTTCACAACAATAAATCCGCCCAAAAGTTTGAGTTTCAACAAACAGCAACGTTTTCTTTGTCGCCGGAATTGGGTGGAAATGAATTAAAAGCAACGTAAAATGAATTACGAATGCTCTTTCGGAGTGAAAAATTAAATTAGAGCCGAAACGCGAGCGAAATTTACGAGAGTCGAACGAATGGACCGGAAACATTCTCAGACGACCACCTGCAAAAGCGAAGAAAATGTAGGCGTGTGCGGGAATGGCAAGCGCTTAAACTTTGTATTGATGTCAAGTGAAGCGTGCTTTCATTACCGAGCCCGCGCGCTCTGACGTCGCACTCTATTCGCGCCGCATGCCGTGAAGGGAATCCTCGAAACCATAATGGAAACGAGTTAATCCCGAAGAAAATAAACTTAATTGAAATTGGGTTGTAAAATTTTATGTGCGCTGCTTCTAATTCGGCTAGCTTCATTTGCAAATTTACAAATTTCTTATTACAACGCCATTCCACCGAACCTAACCTAACATAACCTCAAATAAAAATAAGTTTTACCCTACTTAATCAAATGCGTGCTGAATTTGAAACCCCACCGGAACAACTAAAGCAGAAAGCGTGAAAATAAGTCAATATTTATGGGCAATCAGTGGCAGCCCAATTTTTATTGCACGCAAACCATATTTGCCTTTCTCATTCACCCCATGACAACCCTCACACATTAAAATACTTCTTTTATTTACAAATCGACATTTTCAAGGTCCCCATGCGTCAATTTTCATCCGAGGAACTTTTGGGTGTCTGATTCGTCACCCTAGTTGGCACACACACCCTAACATCATGCACATTGGGTGTCTCTACCCGTTTATCAGCGGCGCGCAAACCCCTCGCGAGTCCTCTTTTGTCCAGGCCATTAGGCGCACAATAATCGTCATGTTAATGCAGCAAATTTGCGGCTTTTGTATGCCATTCATCCATTCACGCGCACGAATTCTATCTGGGTGCCATTTGTGGCCGGCGCGTACATACATACATTAGTGCCCTTGGTGCACCCTCGCAATCAAGTATTAAACGCATCTCGGATTTCGCGTGCGACGTGGTGACGTCTCCTATATTTTACCGCAGTCGGAAGGACATCAGGGTCTTTCTTTGAAATCAAATATATGCGCTAGGGTAGTAGTAGTGATTCAGCAAGCTGGCCGAGGTGTCGTTTAACATGGACGACAAATGTAATCTCACATATGTATGCTTAACCGTACGAAATAGGGGAAAGAAATGTCGGAGGAGAACTAATGTGACTTATGTACAGTTCGGAGAGACAGATGGATGCGGAACTAAACGGACAACAAGCGTTTTGCATTTAGATTTACGTACGCGGTGAAATTTACTGAAATGTTGCTTCAATTTTGAAAAATTGTTTAGGACTACAAGTTTGTCAGGAGGTATAATATTAAATAATGCCTCACATTCCTCAACAGAAACTATGAAACTAACTAAAAGCCGCATTTGTAAATATCTAATAAATTATGCGCTTTGTAATAAATTTACCTTGCACAAGATTTTCTCCTCCCTCTCTCCACGTACTTTTTGTGAACTAATACAAACAGAGTTTTGGCAAAACCACCAAGTTTTACTACATCACACATCCTTCTGAAATCCAGCGCCGCAATTCTGCAATTGCTGGTAACTGAGTTGCGCCAGTATTGTGGCCGTTGTTGTGCCTTTCCTTTTTAAGGTAAACTAATCGAAATAGTTTATCATTCCGGCGTGGCGGCCATAAAAGTCAGCTATTTAGGTATTACTCGCGTTCAACATGCAAAATAACTTTCGATATTTATGGTCGGTGCATGTTCCTTCCGCCTCGCCGCCAGCCAGAAGCGCAGCAGTGGAGCATCGACGTTTTCCTGGCGCGCCGCTTGGCGCGAAGAGTTTCGCTAAACTGTATCAGCGTTCTTCGTGCAATGTGCAACACTTACTAGGCTATTGGCGTGTGGTGGATCGGGGGCATTGTGCCGACTGTGAGGGTGACTTTGTGCAAGCTTCACGACTAAAGCGGGAAAAGCATCAAGATGCAGTGAGTTTGCATCGACTTTCGGATTTGCAGAGTTACGGAATAATTTGTAAATTATATCCAAATCTTTCCCAGAATAAAAATGCACAAGAATAAGTTAATAATATAAATTCTATCTTATACAATGTTATTTACTTTTTTTGTGTTTTTTTTTTGTTTTGTAGAAAAATATTGTTAATGAAACGTTTGAGTTAAATCCAAAATCGTAATCGCTTTGCTTTCGCTCAGTGTTGGTTTGATTCAACGGAATTTCCATTCGAATGGCGATTAAAGCGTTGAGCAAATTAACGACGAGCGTTAATTATTCCGGTACGTCCGCAAAGCGCGAATCTTCCACGCTGTGCACTCTACAAATCGTTTATTCAACCCACGAAACCGCACTTTTGAAAATGTTTCGACATTAAAACCCAAACAAACAAAACAAAAAATACAAAACATGAAACTTAACACCTACAAATCAAATTTCAATAATATTAACAATAAGTGACACGTAAAATGCTCGCGTGAATAATGCGTTGCATGCAGAAAACTTAAATGCAGAATCGCACCATCAATATAAACATCGATAACCGAATACAAATTATCATTAACACCCAAATCGTTTGCGTTTATTTGATAGCAGGATGGGTAAGTTGGGGGCGGTAGCTGAAATAGCATTCGGCATGTCCTTCGCCTGAATTTTGCCACTCGCAGGCGGCTATTAACTATTAATTTTCAGCGGCGTGCCGACACATCGCCCCCGCTAATACCAGCGTTATTATTCAAAACGAACGCGCACTGTGTGTAAGTAATGTAAGTGCGCCAGCCCGCACCACAGTCCAGCCAATAAATTATAATTACCCGCGCATTGTAACGGCAATAATGCCAATAGTGTTCTGGTACCGATGAACCCCTTTTAAACTAATTTAGTTGATGTTAACAATTCAAAACGGGTGCATAAAATGATATTTTAAAAACGTAAATTTAAAAAATATGAAACAAAATGTATATTTGTATGAATAATTAATTTTAGACAGATATAAATAGTTGCAGGTTTAAAAAAGTTTTCATAAGTTTCAGAACACCATTCATTATGGTAGGTTACAAAATACTTTAGACAATTAAAATTTATTTTTTCGTTTTGCGTTTTTAGAATTTCTGGTTGCTGGGATTATTATTAGTGATAATAACTTGCGGATATGTATCCACACAGGATACTTGTCTTCAACCCCAACCAGGAATTGGTTATTTTGAACCTTTTTACACGTTGGTCAATGATTTATTTCAAGCTAATACAAAAGTTGTTTTTACTATGATTTATACAACATTAAATTGGCCATTCTAATTTTTGAAGAAGAAAAAAAAAACATTTTTTAAAATTTAAATAAATGTATTAGCTACTTACGTCAATGCAAATTTATTTATCTGGTAATAACATAAATTTGACTTGTATATTTTGACATTGGTATATATTTCACAATATTTTAAAAAATCTATCAGTCTCAAAAAAACATCAAAAATGGTAGGTGCAGAAAAAAATTTAAAAAAAAATTACCAAAATATAAATTTTCCAGAAAATTATTTACGCCCTGCTTTTGACCATATTAATTGGTATTGTAACATGTCAAGAAAAACCTAATGAGAAACCAATTTACGTTGAACCCGAACCTTTAACCATTGGATACTTTGATCCAATATTCCAATATTGGAGAGAATGTTACATGGCCCACAGAAAATTCTTCTGGACGTTATTCTACCGCTGTAATCCTTATCTAGTACCAGTAACTGAGGATTAACTCTTTGATTCCATGATATGTAATGAAATAAATAAAATAAAATATAAATAATATGCATTCAATTATAATATCATCTTTAGTAACAAGCAACAGTCAAAGATATACATATTTAGATGTTTATTTCTTTATTTTATGAACAATTGAATTTATATTTAAAAACGAAGAACTTAAATAGCTTCGGAGATGACAGCAGCGGTGTCGACCACTTCCTGGGCGACATCAGCAACTTGCTGCACGCTCTCGGTCACTTCGGCAGCAATACCATTAGCGGCCTGGATGATGCTGGCTGCTTCAGGGGTAGCCATATCCTTGGCGATGGTTTCCTTGGCAGCGGCGATCATGGCTTCAATGACATCCCTGGTCATGAACTGGGCGTATTTCTGGATTTTCAAGGCAATTTCCTTGAGTGGGCCACCTTGACGGATGATCCTTTCAATAGCTTCTTGGACGAGTTGGATCAATTTGTCAATACGGTCAGCGCTGGGCAGAGTCTGGGCTACATTCTCAACGGTGTGCAGAATGTTGGAGATGAAAGCAGGGGCATTGGAGTGGATGATGGCGGATGCCTTTGCGGTCTCTTCGGTGGCAGCAGCGTATTGGCACACGGCCAGAACAACGAGGGCGTAGAAGATTTTTGCCTTACAAATAACAAAACAGAATTATATTATAATTGTGGTTTTGGTTTGGGTTATTACGGAGCTTACCATTGTTGCAAGTAGATGATTACTTCAATGATGGTTGGGCTATAGTTTGCTAGCTTATATACAAACGTCAGGGCACTTTGAATAAGTTTTCATGCAAATTTTGGTTTTGGTAACTTTGCATACAATGAATATGCAAAAATAATGTCTAACGCACATGTTTTTCGTATGGTTATTTATCAGTTTTGGCGCGGCGGCAAAACATTGATAAAGAAAATTTTCCAATAACAAATTTTACTAACGGTGTGAAGTAATATTTAAATTGGCGGCGCAGTTTTTTTTATTATCGGGAAATTTGCAATGTAGAACACTATTGAAATATGATAACGATTTATTTATTTATTTATTAAAAAGCTACAATATTCTAGAAAAAAATTACGACTAGGAAAGTGAAATAAACTAGTGTATTAAAAAATATTAAGTAATTAACAATTTGACACTTTATTTCCATTAGTTTTAATTAAAATGGTAAAAAGGACCTCAACCAATATAAGAAATTGGCAATTTGAGTATACACGAATGACATAAACATACTGGTGTAAGTATAAATAAATATCACCAATTCCGAAATTTCGTTGTATATGAATATTATTAGTGCAATGATTGCTTCCTTAATAGTAATGTATAAAGTGTATACCACGTGTCTAATTGTGGTTGAGAAGGTGAACACAATACTGCTCACAGCAGTGCCAATCATTGCTTCAGTGGTATTAGCGGCAATAGTTGTAAAAAATCTAAAAATGAGCCCACTGACTCCGGAAATGATATCAGTAAGTCTTTCACTTATCCACTGACCCAACGCAAGACTCGATTCTATCATAGTTATAATTCCATTTCCTAACATTACAACACCACTTCCTAAAGCGCTAAACATCAATCCTGCCCCTGTATACAATCCGTTTGCAAGCATGCTTGCACCGCTATACATAGCATCAGAAACGAATGATAACCCGCTGCTGAGGGAGTTGTAGAGACCATTGTAAAGTATAGAAGTGGCACTTCCTGCAAGGGAAGAAAATGTTGAGACGCCATTATATAACGCGTCTGTGAGTCCAGAGGTTACGAATTGGCCCAAATTAAGCCCACCGGTGATCATAGACGATAGGCCGTTGGTGGTGGTTGATAAGGCGGTGCTCAAACCGCCGGTAATAGCTGAGGTACCAGCTCCTAATAGATTACCGACAGCTGAGGTACCTGCTCCTACTAGGTTGCTAGCTGCTGAGGTACCAGTACCAAGCAAGTTGCTGACAGCTGAGGTACCGGTTCCTACCAAGTTGGTAGCAGCTGAGGTTCCTGCACCTACCAGGTCACTAGCAGTTCCAATGGTCCCATTGATGGCACCACCAATGAGACCTGTTAGTCCGCCGCCTAACCAACTTGATTGGGTATAGGCTGGTGACAATAGACATAGAATGGCTAGGCCCAACAGGACCGTACTTATTTTCACCTAAAACATAATTTATATATTAGCATATTTAATAGGAAATATTTTAAAGACTAAGTCCGTACCATTGCTCAAGAGTTGTGATTTTGCGGAACCCAAACTTATGAAAGGGTATTCAAATACTAACCGAGAAGTCTTGCATATTTATACGGATAATAGAGCTCACCAGCACGGACTCCATTAGTATATTTGCAATTGGAAATGATAAAGTTTTGTTTAGTTAACCAATACGATAACAAGGAATAAATTTGCCTACATACAATGCCTGATTAGCACGGATCCAAAAAGTCCTGGTTTCATTACAGTAATACCAAAGTGTTTTATGACGTCTTTAGTCATTTTATCTTCAACTGAAGGAAATTATCGATACCGACACTCCAGAATAGATAGATAAGCTTTTACTTTACATTAATATATAGGTAATGTTGATTGATTTAATTAAAATACCTAAATATGAAGGTAATAGTTGAAATACGTCAATAGAATATGTTTTATATTTGGAACCCAGTTAATTTTTATCTGTGAGGGTCGTAAAATTATTTTCGGATATAATTAACTTTGGACAAGTAACGATAACATGTTTAAAAATGTTTAAAAATTAAAATTTACAATGTGCCAACATGTTTTCATAATTTTTATAATTTATATGTCTAATCCTGCTCAAAATAGGTTAAATTTTAGGTTAGATTAGTTTATAAAAAATATAAATCTAAATGCAGTGGTTTTATTACCAGAAAACAATTTTATTCGATGACATTTTGAGATATTTTTAACAAAACAGAAATTGTTACATTATTTACTGTTAGTTATTGTACATGATTAAGGAATAAAGGGATGTGAAAAGGCTAATCAATTGTTCAACTAAGGTAAGAACAATGGCCCTGATGACGCTAACAATTGTGGCAATAACAGTTGAGAAGAATTGTACAACACCTTGAATGAACATGCCGCTGAAGATCTCTCCAAACGAGGTGAAGACAGTACCGACTGCACCACCAACAACGGATATGCCTGCGTTAAGGCTCGTATTGACGATATTACCGAAGGTGCTAGCACCGTTTTGAATCATTCCTACGATGCCTCCAGAAAACACACTAGATATAGCATTGGTTATGGTACCTGAGAGTCCACCGGTGAGAACATTTGCAATTGATGACATTCCACCAGTAAGCATACCAGATACTCCACCGGTGAGTGCATTAGTGACTCCACTGGTTACCGAGGAAATACCACCGGTGATTCCATTGGTTACACTACCGGCAAGTCCCCCAGTAAGTCCATTTGCAATTGATGTAAGACCACCAAATTGACCATTGACAGGGTTGCTCAAGTACAAGACGGCAGTTGCAGCGAGTAAGAAAGTGAATTTACCCTAAAATGATTTAAAAATCCTTTAATGAAGTAGGTACCTTTGATTTTGCTATTATAGAATTCTTACCATTTTGTTGCTGTGTTCTGAAAAGACCTGCAGTAATAATGTTCTGCAATTTTTTTCTTATATACCAATATGGATATGAGTTGACTTCAAATAATAGCAATACATTAGACATAGATAATAAAAACAAAGATAAGTGTTATCCTTAGCAAATGGTAACATAGCTTCAATTGACAAATGGGTGACGCGTGTTTTAAGTGCTTTACAAATGAATATGATTGGACTAATGCGTAACTAGCACTTTAGCTAATTTGTTTGCAAATTGCGTGAGACCATGACGTAGGAATTAATTATAAATTGATATCAAATTAAAAGTGTCCAAAGGTCACAATATGAATATTAGCAATAATTATGGATAACAAAAGCTTTCTAATATGGAAACCTCCTACAACCTTGATAAACACACCTTTAAAGAGAAAACTAATAAGATTTTTGGAAAAATTTCATACATTTATTTATTATATAGCAAAATATAGTTTATTTATATTATAGATTTGGTAATTTACAGTCTCACGAGAGATAAAACTCTAAAAAATATAACTTTGCAGATCCTTAAAACAATAGTACCAATCCAAGTGAACAAAAGTTTAACACCGGTAATAAATACATTATTTAAAAATTGAATTAAACCAATCTGGGGACGGTCATCTGATCCATTAGGATTATTAACAACAACCCCACCATTCAATCCTCCCACAATTACGGTGCCTAAGTTGTTTACACCACCAATATTATTTGAAGTGGTAGTGACTATACCACCACCCAAATTTGTACCAATATTGACTCCACCTCCATTTATTGGTGTACCTGTATTTATTGCTTCCCCAACAATATTTGGGGTAGAAGGTGTATGAGGGAAACCACTGCTTGTACCGGTATTACAATTGGCAAGTGCAATGGTACTTTCAATTGTGTTGGCTAATCCACCCCAAATTTGAGCATTGACTTGTGTATTTAAATGCAAAATAATAACAATTGCAAATATCAGATGAGTTTTTGTCTATAAATTACAATTAAATAATTATTATGGTTGACATTTACAATATGCAGATGTCTTACCATCTTTTAATGAATTTAGATAACAGTAATTTGATTAAATAATCTGTATATCTAACTTACTTAGGTTCTAAAACAGAAACTACCACTAATCACACCGTTACCTGGTTTTATACTAGTATGTAGATAAGCTTGAAGACAAATTTTAACAAATTTAAGCAATATTACGTGCCCTATGATATCATGTTATCTTTTTGCAAGTGTTCAAATACATTTTTAAAAATAGCAAAGCAATAAATTGTAACAAATTAATGCAAGATTTGCCTTCGTCCTTGAATAAGTGGGCTTTAATTATTGATTTCACATTTACATGGTATATCAAGTTTATGTAGATATAAAATAATTTTACAAGAGCATATTAAGTGCAAAACCAATCAAAAACACTTGGAGACCAGTTAACATACTGGTAATGAGTGCAATTATTACTGCGAACATTACTATGCCAGATAATCCATTAACCATGTTGGTCATATCACTATCTACAAGATCATTGCCAATGTTGATTACACCTCCAATTACATTGTTGCCAACGTTGACTACGCCACCAACAATGACGTTACCAACATTGTCAACTATGTGATTAACTTGGTTGCCAACATTGAGAATTGGAAATGTAACGGGATCTACAACCATGCTGTGTTAATAACATCATTCAACCTAATTCAATGTTATCCTTTTACCGGTACACTCACCAGGATTATAGCAGGTAATAAGCAGATTTTGGAAGCCTGAAAATTTTTAACATAAAATAAACTAAAATCAAAGTATTTTTCATAGAGTAAGTACATACCATTTTGATTAAATTTAGTTTAAATTTTGATGGTTTCTGAGGTGATAATATTATAAACCACGATGTTACTTGATTCTAATGGTTAATATCTTTAAGGTTTTCCCCCCATGGTAATAAAGCGTTATCTATTGCAGACATGTTGGTATGTAGGGCATAAATTTGAAAAATAATGATTTTTAAGCAAAATATGTTATTGAATTGCTAAGGCACTTACGTAATAATTACAATGATGAAAATATAATATGCCCTTGCATTAGTTTTTAATATATCACATGAATTACTTTTGTTGTTGCTGTAATTTTGGAAAATATAAGTAATGCTCTTGCTGCCCTAAATTAATTGATAGTAAAACCGCATGTCAGTTTTACCGCTTGCGTAGCCTAGGTATTTAAGCATTTAGAAAAACAAAAGGTATGTCAGACCGACCATAATAGCAGCACCAATAACTAATGCTTGAGTACCAATCATGCTGAAGAATACTTTCATTGCAGTGATTATACTATTAATAAGTGCTCTGATCATTATGGACATGAAATTGCCAGTCAAACCACCAACAATGTTGGTAATTCCCCCAATGGTACCTCCTATGATGCTAGTACCTGTATTGACCGCACCACCGATGACGTTGGTTCCTGTGTTGATTGCTCCTCCAACGACATGGGTAATCATCGTCTATGCTTGAGGGGTAAGTTTCAAACATCGCACAAAGAGCAGATTTGTACTCCGAAAACTTTGTATTTACGACATCACATTGTAGGAAACCTCTTCAACTACGGTATTACCAGCATTGACTACGGACGAACCTGTATTGACAGCACCACCAATAACGTTGGTACCAAGATTTGCTGTAGCATTGGCCGCGTTTGTAATGGTACCAGTAACACCACCGACTACACTGCCCAATCCACTTCCCCATCGATCTTCCCATTGACCATTGACTGGTGTACCCAATGAGAAAATGGCAACAGCCGCAACTACCAAAAGAATCTTCGCCTGCAATAGGAATCCAATAATAAAATAACATTAGTTCCACTATTTAAATGGATGTTATTATACATACAAACCTTCCGAATCACTCTATCTATTAAAAAAAACGGCATCAAAATCTGTTGCGTAGTTTCAAACATTTAAGCGAACAAAGGGACCGGAAAAAACAGCGACTTAACTTTTATACTATGTAGTGATGCTTGCTTCCATAAATTAATTGATATTTATTGGTTGATGTAAGTTTACAGTTTGTTGCCTTAGGTATTAAAACATTTAGAAGAAGAACAAAAGGTATGTCAGACCGACCATAATAGCAGCACCAATGACTAATGCTTGAGTACCAATCATGCTGAAGAAAACTCTCATTGCAGTGATTATACTATTAATAAGTGCTCTGATCATTATGGACATGAAATTGCCAGTCAAACCACCAACAATGTTGGTAATTCCTCCAATGGTACCTCCTATGATGCTAGTACCTGTATTGACCGCACCACCGATGACGTTGGTTCCTGTGTTGATTGCACCACCAACGACATTGGTTCCTGTATTGATTGCACCACCAATTACATTGGTACCTACATTAACCACATCGCCAATGACATTAGTTCCCGTAATAACAACACCAACAATCACATTATTACCTATGTTGGTAAACGCCCAACTACGGTATTACCAGCATTGACTACGGACGAACCTGTACTGACAGCACCACCAATAACGTTGGTACTCAAGATTTGCTGTAGTACTGGCCGCGCTTTTGGTAATGGTACCAGTAACACCACCGACTACACTGCCCAATCCACTTCCCCATCGATCTTCCCATTGACCATTGACTGCGTACCTAATGAGAAAAATGGCAACAGCCGTAACTACCAAAAAGAATTTTCTGCCCGTATTAGAATCCAATAATAACAAAAACATTGACTATAAATTATTACTAACCATGTTTTATGAGTTTGTTGTAGAATATTGTGGTTCCCAATAGAAACTACAACAAAACCACGCCAGCCGTTACTTTGTTTTATACTCATATGTAGATAAGCTTTGCTGGGCCAACAAAATTGGGCTATATCACTTCAAATGATAAATACCGTTCCTCATTGCCGTAAATTTGAGTGTATGTTGCATAAATTTGTAAATCAATGAAACGGAAAACTTGTTTTGTTATTTTTTTTAATAAGTTTATTGTTATTCATTTCCATATTTGCCATATTAAATATAGAAACAAATATATAGAGTAAATAAGTAGTTACAATTAAAGATTTACTTGCTTTATTATTATTCAATTTCAAGTATTTGCACTTTCAGTACTTCTTTAACAAAACGCGTTATTTTATATTCTGTACAACAACCAAATCATAGACTCAAAGAGGAGCGCTAAGATTAAAAGTGGTTGTATAAGAAGAAAGGTAATTGGTTCAGAGACTGCGTATACAAGAATGGTTGCAAGGCTGTACAAAGTATTTTCAGCAAAATCAAAGACAACAAAGTAACTGTACTAAAAAAACTAACTGTATTCCTAATGGTGGTAACCACTAGTTTGAGGAGAGAAGTATATGACTCGGCTAGATTTGTAATCATTATCATAACCATTGACTGGAGTAGGTACTCAAGCGCAAAACGGCCAAAGCCATAATAATGATTAGCGAAATCTTTGCCTGCAATGTAGGTATAGTAAAGAAATAAATTTTATACAGGTTACTTATAATACAAGATACGAGTATACTTACCATTTTCAATGTCTTCAATTCAAGCGTGCAAAGTTTCAAACTGAAACCATGAACGAACTTGTTATCGCTTTGTTTTATACTGATATGCAGATTTATTTGGTATAAATTAGATAAGATAAATTTAGCAAAAAATGTGCTAAAATTGCTTTCGTTGTTTTGCGTGGTATGCATCCGCGTCAGCAACAAAAAAATAATTATTTTTTGTATTAATGCTGCCGAACCTACTTGACAAAATGATTTTTCTTTTAATCTTCAAATCACAAATAAGCCTTTTTTATTAGATTCATAATATATAATTAAACCAAGATACATTTATCTTTTTGGTAAATTAACCTTGACATGAAGACATTTATGGTCTGTAAATAACATACATGAACAGTTCAAGGAATATGCCCATTGGCAAAAAGGACTGAATAAGTACCTCATTACAGGTAGAACAGACATTGTAATATGCTGAATACTCTGCTAAGGTTTACTGCTGATGAAAATACGTTGCTGATACTACTCGCAACATTTCAGTTACCCCATTGGCAATACCTCCAATAACTTGACCATTAACTGATGTATCAATTGAAAATGGCCAGAGCCACAAATCCAGCAAAAATCTTAGCCTAAAATTTGCAAATTTAAAAACTGTTATTAATGGTATTCTACAAATGTTACTTACCATGTTTCAAGTATCAAAGTTAAAACATGAACGAACTACTGTTGCTTTATTTTATACTGATATGCAGATTTCTTTAAGCTAATTATTAGCAATATTTAAGCATAACATAGGTTAAACGATAAGACGCTATCTACTGCCATTGTATGATTATAAATTACATATATTTCCACATTGCATGAGATTAAAAACAATTGTTATATATTGTAAATGTTGCAAGTTTTTGTAAAGTCAAATTTAAACTTAGGCCAACTGCTTAAGCCATTTAGTAAAATATTGTTAGATAGAAAATGCAAAAAAAAATTTAAAACACCATTTTTAAAATTTAAGGTTATTTAGAGTTCCATGCTGGACATTAACATGTTTTCCGTCGAAATAATTAATTATTAAATAATGTTGTAAGTACATATTGCTATTAAATATCAAGGTCTACAAGGCAAGCCCTTAGTACCTATATTTGATCAAATAATGGTGTATATATGATTTATATAAGCCATATATAAACCATTAATTATAATTATATTTGGCGCCTCCACCAAATTTATATTTATTAATTTATTTTTTTATGAAAATTGAAAATCAACCTTTTTTATTTATAAGCATCAAAGGAAACAACTTTACTAGTAAAAACTAATAACTTTAGGGGTATGGAGCATAAAAACATATGGTAAATGTAAGTTATAATGTTAGGAAGTCTTTAAAAATATCTTGTGGGGTAATTCAAAATACCGATTAAATTATGCTACTTAGATTTATTTAAAACATGTTTGCTCGTCCTTATTTGAGCTTATATCCATAACCTAGCCCAGTATTGGTAAATAATCACTGGTATATAAACAAGCACCTGGAAAACTACCAGGAAAGCATATTTAAGCCCTTCCAGTATTCCACCACTGGAACCTTCAGCCCTGATTTCTGTAGAAGGACCAGCGTTAACAGCAACCAGGCAGAATAGGGCAAGAGCCGCAATAACTAAAGTAATCTTTGCCTGTAAAATTCAAATAAAATAATTTAAATTGACTTCTTCTACTAGTTAAACTACATGTATGTATTTACCATTTTGTAATGGTTTGGTGTGCTCGTTCTACTCTTAGCAGACTTAAGTGCCAAATAGAAAAAGTTGATTTGTTATATAGTACCTCATATCAGATCTGTTTCTGTGGAAACTTTCCCAAAATTAAAATATACTACTACAAGATAAGAACTTTACTTACTCGTAAGTATTATCAAAATATGAGTATAAATTAGGTAAATTAGCAAATCAATTTGTTGAAGTACCTACCTGTTTTTGTTTTTCACTGTTTATTATATTGCTCTGATTTAAATATTATACGTAAACAAATTCTAATGGAAAGTTTAGAAACCCCGTCTTACAAATCACAATACATAATCATTTGTGAGACGGGGTTTCTTAACTTGTTAATTACTCACAGTGCAATCAAATGGTGTAAATAAATCAACTGCCAATATTAAATATGTTCTAATGAAAATACCATAAATGTGATATTTACCATAATTGCGTAAGAATTGAAATCGATAAAATTTTTACAAATGACCAAAAAATCAAAATTGAGTTTTGAGAGATATTTTATTGAAATACCAATATTTATTACACAAGCATGGTAATTGCGGCTACAGTAGCACCAATAATGCCAAACCAGTAAATTGCATTAGCAAAAGCACCACCAGTAACAATGCTGGTAATACCACCAACAAGAGTGGCACCTGTGCTGACAACATTTCCAACTACGTTGGTACCTGCAGTAACCACATTACCAGCTACATTAGAACCAACATTAACCAAATTAGCAGCAACATTTGAACCAGCATTGACCACATTACTAGCAATGTTAGAACCAGCGTTGACTACATTACTAGCTATATTAGAACCTGTGTTGACCGCT